GTTTTTAGCTTAATATAACCTTGATATGAGTCATAGGAAGGGTGGGAATGTGTGTAGCATCACTAAATCGGGCCAAACACACCCAGCAAGGTGTGTGCGGCCGCACACCCGAGTGTGCGGCCAGCCAGCCGCACACAGCCGACCGCACACCCTCCCAGCCTCACATTCTAGCCTATATAAAGGACCCTAAGTCAACCTTACACCCCTTTTCACACTCCTTCAAAGCTGGAACACTTTCTCTCAAGAGTTCTTCAAGTTTTCTTCTCCAATCGACAATACAAGTAAGTAAACATCCTTAGATCGTTACTACAACAATTTAGAAAGCCTTTTCCTCGGGTTTGATCCATGAAATCATCATTCTAGATGATCTTCATGTGTGTACGGCCGCATACACATCATGTGTGACCGCACACACATCATGTGTGACCGCACACACATCTTTTGGTCCTAAAATGGGCTTAAACACCCATCCAAGCTTAGCATCGACCAAAACACCTTCTTAGGATCATCCCCAAGCCTTGGAAAATCGATTTGGACACATTTAGGTGGGAGTGTACGGCCGCACACAGGCCTTGCCGCACACAGGCCTGGCCGCACACTCTGGCCGCACACTCTGGCTGCACACCTAGCCGCACACTCATAAAAGTTGAGTTTGGTGGCCTTACACTCAAACCTAAGACCCTACACTCATTTAGGGACTTCAAGGGGTGTTTGTAACACTCAATTCTAGGTGTTTTCATGTCCCTAAGGCGTGTCCAAGTGTCTATTAGTGGTTATATACCCTAAGTGTATTCATATATGTGTTATTACATGAAAAATAGGATTCGTTTGTGCTCGTGAATTCAATTGACACCCGACGATCCTACATCGATCTTTCATTCGAGTTACTCACTACAGGTGAGTTCATACCCCTGAATCAACCTTTGAAATGATTTTAAATACTTTTATGGGGGGAATACAAGTTGAAAATATTCTAGTTATTGTTTTAATCACATGTGATTAATGACTAGAACAAACAGATAGATTTACTACTACTTTCAAGTTATTATCAAAATTATGGTTTTCAAGCGTTTCAAAACCTTGTATTAAACTTTTAGATGCTAAAACTGTTTCCAAACTCTTTTAAACTTGCATTGTTTTCAAACTCGTATCTACACTAATATATTTATATAAGTAATACTTGAAGGACTTAGGACTGATAGCTCACCTTATTTCCTGATCCTTGTTTGGTTGTGAACTTAGGACTGATAGCTCACCTTATTTCCTGATCCTTGTTTGGTTGTGGACTTAGGGTATCCTGTTATTTGTCCGAACGTCGTTGAACTCTTAGTTATATATCATATATATATATATATATATATATATATATATATATATGTGTGTGTGTGTGTGTGTGTGTGTGTTGGGTATAAAAGCTTTCACTTCAGTTCAATGCCTTTATGTAACGGAGGCATACAAATCACATTACTATTTAACTATAATAGGTATAGTTAAGGGATTTCTACTAGCTACTACTATTACAGAGATACATACAAGAGTCGGTACATTCAAGAGTCGTTACATGAGTACTACAGTAAGAAACAAAACGTACTATACACTATACAAGAGAACATACTATACACTATACAGGAACATACTATATACTAATAAAGAGGAAGTATCACTTCACTATGACATACTATACAACCTTTTGAATACTATAAACCGAACGTGACATACTACTTCTCGATACGACACTTCATCGTGGTATCACTTTATAACCAGAGTCTCCTGGAGGGAGATCGGGCATTATGTGTATAGATCTAAACGGGACAGACACTCCCACACCCCGACTGCTAGCTACAGTCCCAGCCGATATCTTATTTTGATTATACATTTTTGGTGTCTTACATACTATACAGAACATGCTTGTATTGAAATTATTCTATTAATGCAATGGATGTTGTTGTTTGTTTACTATTTTGCTATGTTGTGATACTGTACATGACGTCCTCCTCCCCAGAACGTTTCCGCCGTTCCGGTTTTGGGGTGTGACAATTTCAAGTAAAATCTCATGTTTATTATAAAACTTTTGCATGTTGTTTGAAGTGAATTCACCACCATTATTAGTATGAATCCTTTTATAGATTATCCAAATTAGGTTTTTATCAAGTTGTAGACATTTTATCAACCGATTGCTAACTTCATGCTTGAATTTTAGAAGGAAAACCCAGACATCTCTGATAAAATCATCAACTATGGTTAAAAAAAATAGCTTGTGACAGATAGGATAAGGATGTGATATTTACCCCCAAATATCATAATGTAAAAGCTCAAAAAAATCATTGGTTTTAATGTTACTATGCGAAAGAGGAAGTCTAGTATGTTTTGCCTTCGAACAAGAATCATACAGTTTATCAAAAGAACTACCGCTAAGAAAATATATTTGAGTAAGTTTATCATCAGAATCAAGCCCAAATCTTTTATGCGAAATGTGGATAGTTGTTTCCAAGGATCACTTCTCCCTTCCAACCATCCCCATTTTGTATAGACCATTCCTACACTCACCCACACCAATCAAGCTCCTCGTGTGAAGTTTCTAAGTGATGCAAAAATCGGGAAATAAGGTTATTGTTCACTGCAAATCCTTACACATTCTACTGACCGATAAAAGGTGACAAGTGAATTTAGGAATGTGTAAAACTTCTTTTATTTTGGTTCCTCATGGTAAGGAACTCCCTCATCTTCCTTCAACAGGAATCGTATCCCCATTGGGGATGGCAACCGGTGTTTCAAAATAATTTTTAGTTTTATTCTCAAGTACATTAGCATCTTGCGTAATGTGTTTAGTCGAGCCTGATTCAATGACCCAACATTTAGCATTATTACCCAATAGTTAGCATTATTACCTTTACTAGTCATGAACGCCTTTGAGATATTAACCTCCTTACCAAAATTTCATGTTTAAGAGAAGTGTTTTGAAAAGGACTCATATTGTTCACCGCTTAAACCAAAAATGGGCGAGCTACATCCGGGTTCGATGAAGGTTGCCTTTGGTTTCATTTCTTCACGTTTCTTGTTTCCCTGTCACTATTCTAGGTAGCTCATTCTTTTGAAGCATCCATCTCGTGAGTGACCATTTTTTCCATAGAATGTATAATGTTCAGTCACAACGAACCTTTTGGTATCCTTCTGAAACGATTTGCCACGCCTTTGGTTCTAGTTTCCTTCTCAACAAGTAGGCACAAAGGTCTTGAAAGCGGCAACTTTTGTAGCAGGTTTCTTCTCGGCCAATATAACTCTAGCGCTCGTTATTAGCGGCAAGGTGATATGCATTCCTTAAGCTCGGTAGAGGATTCATGGCGAGTATTTGAGTTCTAACAACAGAAGAGTTATCGAGACCCATGAGAAACTCATAAGGTTTTTTTTTGTCCATCAGCCCACTTAACTTCTTCCCAACGTCGCATGCGCAACCGTTACATGAACATCGAGGCACTGGCACAGATCCAATCTTGTCCCAGAGGCTTCACAACTCAGTGTAGTAGACGAAAACAATGGCTCCATTCTAATATGTCATTGAATTTGTTTGTTTTAACTCATATGCCCTAAGTAAGCTTTCTTTTCAAAATCGCTCCTTTAGATCGTTCCGGATTTCAGAGGCAATATGAGCATACTTCACGCTGCTCTTATCTCCTTCTCCAAAGTTGTTGTAAACCATCCTTTTACCAACGCATCACAACGCATCTAGGTCATATACTAAGTGGAATCCTTTTCTGGTTTCTCAATGGACCCATCAACAAAACCAACTTTCTTCTTGGCAAAGAGAAAGTTCATTATCTATTGAGACCAATCTGCATAGTTGTTGTCAGTAAGGGTTTCATTAACATGAATCTGTTTGGGGTAATCAGACGCATGTATATAGAATGGGGAATTCACATCAAGGATGCCTTCATTTATCTTTTGGTTGGAACTTTCAACAACAACAGTCATAGTTGTTGATCGGCTAGGGTTTGGTATTTTTGGTTAGAACCTCTCTTGATACCATATGGAAACTCATAGCAAAAGATTCAACTATTCCATTGACCACAAAAGGGTTTAAATACAAGCAAAAGAATAAAAACGAAAGGTCTTACACTTAAACCACAAGATACGAAAATAATAATAAACTAATGTTTAAAATCCAATAAACTGTTGCCGCTCAAAGTGCCATTTTTTTGACGTTCATAAACTTTCCTCACTTACTTTTATTGGCAACACAATTTGGATGGGTGCATCATAAACTTGTACCTTTATGCATTAAGAAAATACACATGGGTGGTAGTAATTGGTTATGTTTTGGGAACAATTTGGTAGGCAAAGATGGTACCACAACCCACCCAAATATTGGTAAAAATGACAAATGCTTATGTGATGACTATGTGACACTTTTTTGGTAGGCAAAACTATCAACACACCGTTTAGCCTAAGTAAATATAGTTGGTTTTGAAACACCCATATATCCGATTAATAAATAGCCATAAATATCATCACATTCACTACAAGTCTTATCATTTCATATTAATTACGATTTCTTCTAATTCAAACTTTTTGCAAAACATTACATCCACAAAATATGCCTGTTTTCATGTTCATCAGATTTGTAGTAAGAATTCCAGGGCAAGGAATAATTGGGTTTTCAACCTAATGTAAGATACATGTAACCCAAAAAATATATCATAGACCAACAAATCAATATGATATCTTTAGCGTTTACCCAAGTTTGAGAGCAAAAACGGAAATGATCCAACACTATATAGAAGTGCAGAGAAGAGAACACGTTGATGTAGTTACCTTGTCTGATCAAAAAAAGAATGTTGTTGAGGGAAACAGCCACACCTTCAAACAACAAATCAGCAGCAATTAATATCTTCAAATGCATCATATATAGAGATTTAATGAAAAACATTCAAAAGAAAATTATAAATAATGATTAAAAACTTATTGAAAAACAATCCAGCTTAACTTACTGACAACTGGGTAGGTCAATAATCTTCGCAATCATAGACAGTCCAATCTTCACCATCGATACCATGCAAGTCATCGTAATAAGTAAATTCTTCTTCACATATCACGCAGAACATATCACTTTCACTAATGTATAGACATCCTTCAACAGAATCTTCAGGTAGCTTTAGATATTTAATATTTTCTGAACATCTTTTCCCCATGTCCCCCTTGAGATTTATGTACATGCACTGACGCAAGTCAAGTGATTCAAGATAACAACAACCATCCAGAATCGCCTCCAACCCAATATTTGTCATGGTGTTTCCAATTAGTTCAAGGTGCCTTAACTCATGTAAGTTTTCTCCAATAGCTTTAGCTGTCTTATTACGGATCATTAAGGACTTCTCATCAGTACCTCCATGCAAAAACATACAACTTTCTTGATTCACTTTCAGTGTTTTTTAGCATTGGGCAACAACGGCCAGCAGCTTCAATAGCTTCTTCTGATATTTTTATTTTGTAGAGATTGAGTTCCTCCAACATTGGAAATTTTTTCAAAGCTTGGGTCCAGTTCCAATGTAAATCACGATAGCGACTTACAAATTCAAGCCGTTTGAGCTGACTTGATCTGTAAAAACATACAAAAATTGTAAAAGATCATGAGCAGTTTTGGGTTATATATAAGACAGCATTGGATTTATCTAATTCTCAAATCCAATATCAATAGGGAGGATAAAGAAGCTATATATGCATAGCATCTTTAACTTTTATTATAAGCACAAATGCACAAACGCCCAAGTAATTAAAGCTCACATACCTATGAGCAACATATTGAAGAAGCTGATCATTGACAACATCGACTATGCTGATATCAACTAACTGGCCTTGACTTCTATCAACAGCATGCCTGCATATTTCCCATACCTGCCGAAATGGTCCCACAGTTGTCTTCATATGAATGACCCTCCACATGGCTGGATCCTTGCAGATTTTACACCAAGTGGTGCAAACTTTCTGAGCATTCTCAAGTATATCAATAGGTCCAATTCTGTATAGAATATTAGACATCACATCAGATGGGAGCTCCAACCAATTCCTAATCGGTCCTTCCACCTTCCATTGCGGCTTTGGTTTTGAAACAGTAAGTTCCGCCATTTCTTTGTACAATTTTCCTTTCATACTTTGTGAAGATGTAAACTGTGCCATTTCTAGCAATAACATTTCCAAAAATGGTCAAGAAAATAAGACAATAACAGCTTAGAAAACATCTTGGGTTTTGTGCATTTAATTTTCATGCAAAAAGCATCTTAGCATTAGCATTAGCATAGACAAAGAAACGAAATCCTAAAGATCCATATGCAATATATTAACTTATTCGACTTATTTGAAAAGAATAACATACTGTAACAAATATATCAAACGAACCGATATGGCTTTTCAAATCGTGAAGATCAAAGTCGCTATATAATGCACGAAACACTAGGATGCATTTGTGGTCGATCTACCAATAAATGGAACAAGGAATTTGCATAAAATTATAGCAAATCATTGTGCAACACCAGTTTGGATTATAATTGCTATGGAAATCAAGGGTTAAGATTGATCAAAATTTTATAACTATAAACTTGCACCGAAAAGAGATATGATTTTCCAACTGTACTCCAAGAATATAAAGAACGATTAATAGAAGACACTATCAACAATCTGTATATATAGGTCGAAGGTAGAACTCTAAAAACGCTAGAGCTACTAAATTTCTAAAAATAGCGACATCGTTGATCTAAATGTTGAAGTAATTTGCTGAAAATTAGATGAAAGGAAAGGAGAAGGAAGGAGAATTGCATAGTAGTCGACTAACCGGAGAAGTAGAAAGAATGTTGTCGTCGTACGACCCACCTAGCCGACCGTCGGCAGTCGTTGTCCCTGACAGTTGACAGGCGAAGAATTATTCTGAATCGTATCGTATTTTTTTTTACCGAAAGCATAGATGTCTTATGTGTTATATAAAAGATTACAGAGTGTCGATTCATCGGAAACCCTAACGACTTTTCCGTCAAAGAGTATGATAGGAGATCAAGGCCTTTAATTTGGCATGGTCAAAGATTTTAGAAAATTATAAATATCGTCGAACCTTTAATGGTTTTATAACTTTTAGCAAAAAATTAACTAAATATTAGATTTAGCTATCATTAGATGAGACACAATATTCATCAACATGCTGCAATATTTTCAAAAAAAATTAAGCGAAATTATGTAAAATTAACTGTTACGATTTTTAAGAATATAAAGTCAAAAAAAGATTTGTGATCTTTAGGTATTTTTTTATATATTTTTATGATTTTTTGGGTTTTTTTGTTTTCCATAGAATCTATATATATATATATATATATCTATATATATATATATATATATTATATATATATATATATATATATATATACACGAAATTGACACTCCCACATGTGGTTCCTAGTTACAAGTTGACGGCAAGTCGAAACAGGCATAACTTTCTACACACATTTGCGAGGTCCGATGAAGCGTTGTGGTTTTCAGGATCAATAGTCATAGCTCGATTATATGAACACATTGTAACATTGTTAAACTAAAACTAACTGTCACATCCGGATTCCCAGGTATCTCATTTTAAGTATTTTATATTGAATTAAGAGGGGGACTCGGCAAGTAGGGGCTCATACTCGCTGAGTTGGATCGCGATGTGTTGATCTGATTTAATGGCGGACTCGGCGAGTCCATACGTGGACTCGGCGAGTCCACGCTGTTTAATGAAACCCTAATTGCTCGAGTTTGGGACCTATTTAAGGACCCTTATAGCCACCATTTGCGGCTACCAGACCCTAGAGAGAGAAACCCTAAGAGAGCTAGAGCGTTTGTGAGGAAGGAGAGGCCATTTTTGATCCTTGTGTTGTTATTCTTGCAAGAAGAAGGTGACCAAGGCAAGAGGGAGCTGAAGAGGGTGCTATTCTGAAGATTTCAGAGCCAAGGACTTCATATTTGAGGTATAGATTCGATCCTTCTTCAGTTTTGGTGTTAACCTTTGGAGTTAGGGTTTTCTAGACCCTTTAGAGGCTTGATTTGATGAGCATTTGGTCCCTTCTCGAATTAAGGCTTTGGATCTGGATCCAAAGAGGTCCAGAGACCTTAACCCCTTGGATCTTTATGATTGATATTGGGAGACATGAGCTTAGGATGTCATATTTGAGGTTATTTCTTCAAACAGAGTCTTTTGGCCTTTGCATGAGCATCAGTTCTGAACTTTACGTGATTATCATGCTTGGGAAGGTCAGATCTATGGATTAGAGGAACACATCTGACCTCAGGAGGTCATTTGAGTTTGAGCATGGCATGAACTCGCCGAGTCCAAGAACAGAATCGACGGGTAGGATTAGGTTCCCCGCGAATCACTCAGTTGGTGACCCGCTGAGTTGGGGAAATGACTCGGTGAGTCAGAGGGGATTTAGAGGACTTGAGTTCATGACTGAACTCGACGAGTTGGGACGGGTTGTTCCACGATTCACGATCAGTGATGATTTGAAGAGTGGAGGGTTGACTCAGTGAGTCAAGTGAGGACCAGAAGTGTGAAGGACACGCATGGACTCGCCGAGTCACATTTGTGCACTCGACGAGTCTGGTCAAGGTTTGACCGATGACTTTTGTTGACTCTTAGGGATTGGTCAACAATTGGACTTGTGGACCGTTTGAAGGGTAAAATGGTCTTTTAGCCTTCTTAGAGGACATGAGAGAGAGTCTAGTCTAGCCTGGAGAGCCGTTATTAATTGAGGTGATTGTTTATGTTATTAGGCAGAGGCTAGATCAGTGTATACGCGAGCGAGATATTATCCGAGATATCCGAGGTGAGTCTTCTCACTATACTTTATAGAGTTATGTGACAGAGTTATTGTATGCTATTATGTGATGTGTGCACTGCATTATTTCTATGTGATTTATGTTGTGTGTATATTAGAGATAGGACCGGAAGGTCCACAGAGTTAGGACCAGAGAGTCCACAGAGTTAGGGCTCAAGGGCCCACAGAGTTATAGCCTCGAGTGGCTAGTATGTGTGTTATGTGTGGTATTTTGGGGAACTCACTAAGCTTCGTGCTTACAGTGTTTTGTGTTATATGTTTCAGGTACCGGTGAGGATCGCGGGAAGGCGTCGGCATGATCAGTATACACACACGTGGAGTTTTATATATGTTATGATCTTGGGATTTTGACTTATGTTTGGATACGTGAAACAATGAGTTTTATAATATTGTAAAATAAAGTGTTTTAAAAATGTGAAAATTTGTTTGAAATTTTACGGTGTTACAAGTTGGTATCAGAGCCTTGGTTTGAGGGATTCGGATGCACCGTCGAGCGCATTTGAATTCAAACTGAGGATTTGAGGAAAAATTTTCAAAATAGAACAAAAATTTCTAAAAAGAGTAAAAAGATTTGAAACGAGCAGAGCATTGCAGTGTGTACGATCAGCCAGCGCCCGAACGGTGATTTCCCAAAATACCCTTACATTATGAGTTATAGAGATTTAGATATGATATGCATGCTAGAATAGGCTAGGTATTCTTATTAGGACTAGAGTGGCCTGATTTGTGATGCCTTAGCCTAGGAATTTTGCTGCTAGGAGATGCTTGAGAGTGAATAGATAGCAGCGAGGAGCTTATGAGAGATCTGCTAGAGAGTAGACTATGCATAGAGAGAGAATAGAGTACTTGGGATTTGGGATCCTAGGAGGAGGACTTGGGGTGAATACTGATGCGGTGTGGGCGGTAGTATTGGGCCCGTACTACCGAAGACACCGGATCAGTGCGCAGCCCAAGTAAGAATCCTTAGGCTACCAGGGATCAAGTAGGATTGGGATATCGAGTGTGTGTACACTCGAGCGAGTCTCGGATATCTTGTGTTGTATTTCAGAGAGACATCATGGTGGGGACACGCCACAGGCCAAGGACTAGTAAGGGGGGTGTGAGCGATGAGGAGCTCCGCCAGATGATTCATGATGAGAGGTGGCTGCTGCCATCCTCGCGCTGAGATCCAGAGGTGTTCGGGTCTATCAAGACCACCCTGATCGAGACTTTTGATGAGCGTTATGCTGCTCTTACTGATGCTGCCGTTGCTGCAGCCACTGCGGCTGTTGCTGCTGCCAGGCCCCAGGGAGGTGACGCGTTGCTGTACCGGGAGTTCAGCAACACGAAGCCACCGGAGTTTGATGGGACTCAGGATCCGATAGCTGCGATGAGGTGGATCTCTGACATTGAGGGGTGCTTCTACACGTGTTCATGTCCGGAGCATCTGAGGGTTCGGTTCGCGCTGAACCAGCTTCGCTTGGGGGCGAAGGATTGGTGGAAGTTTGTGACAGCGCACTATTCTTCTGCAGAGCTTGCTGCGGTGACCTGGGAGAGGTTCACCGCTATGTTTCGTGACGAGTACGTTCGCCAGGTGGAAAGGGAGCGTTTGGCCCAGGAGTTCTTGACCCTCAAGCAGGGTACAGAGTCTGTTACTGTGATCACCAGGATGTTTCATGAGAGGGCGATGTTCTGCCCTGAGCACGTGTCTTCTGAGCAGGCACGTATGAGCCGGTATTTGAGCATTTTGAGGAGAGACATCCGCGAGTTCGTGGCGAACTCGACGTACCGGACATTTGCTGAGCTTCAGGCAAATGCCCGGAAGAGGGAGATTGAGCTAGAGACTCAGGCCAGGGAGGAGGCGGAGTCTCAGGGGAGGGATCGGCGACCGACACAGTCCCAGCCGGCTGCCAAGCGGGCTAAGCCCGCCGATTCAGGAGCATGGAACCAGAAGGGCCGCACTTGTGGCAAGTTGGGCAAGAGTCATGAGGGGGTGTGCAGAGCAGGGTCTTGCTACAAGTGTGGCAAGGAGGGGCATATGGCCAAGGATTGCCCTAAGGGGTTTGCAGTTTGTTTTCACTGCAACCAGACTGGACACCGGAAGGCCGAGTGTCCGCAGTTACGAGGGTCAGCTCAGGGAGCTTCTCAGGGGTCTGTCCCTGCTGCTGTTCGAGCTACAGAGAGTCGGCCGGTGAAGGCCGAGGCGCCAAATGCTCGCGGGAGAGCCTTCCAGTTGACAGCGGAGGAGGTCCGCGCGGCACCCGATGTTGTGGCTGGTACATTTCTTGTATGTTCTGTGCCTGCTTTGGTGTTATTTGACTCGGGTGCGAGTCGGTCCTTTGTGTCGTTAGCCTTTAGTCAGCACATCAGTATTTTTCGTGAGGCATTGAGTCGACCCTTGCGAGTTTCCATAGCTGACGAGAGAGCAGTGTATGCCACTGAGGTGATTCGAGGATGTGTACTCGAGATATTCGGCGTGGAGTTTCCAATTGATTTGGTCCCGATTGCTATGGGAGATGTCTGTGTCATCGTGGGCATGGACTGGTTGAGCAGATTTGGAGCGGTTATCGACTGCGAGCGACAGCTGGTGACCATACGAGACCCTAGTGGGGGAGTTCTTACGGTTTATGGCGAGGGTACCCGTTCTGGGTCGGCGTTTTGTTCAGCCGCGAGGGCGAGGCAGAGTCTACAGCAGGGCTGTAGTGGGTATGTAGCTTATGTGATGGATACGAGGGTGGGTGCAGAGAGACCGAGGTCGGTCGATGAGGTCCCGATAGTGCGTGAGTTCCCGGATGTTTTCCCCGAGGAGTTACCGGGTGTGCCTCCCGAGAGGCAGGTGGAGTTCCGTATCGATTTGGTTCTGGGGGCAGCGCCTATCACCAAGGCACCCTATCGCCTTGCACCTCCAGAGATGCAGGAGTTATCCTCGCAGCTTCAGGAGCTGTTGGGAAAGGGGTTTATACGGCCGAGTAGCTCGCCGTGGGGAGCACCGATCCTTTTTGTCAAGAAAAAGGATGGTTCACACCGGATGTGCATTGATTACCGGGAGTTGAACAAGCTGACGGTCAAGAACCGTTACCCCTTACCGAGGATCGACGAATTGTTCGATCAATTGCAGGGAG